TGGATGAATGGGTGAGAGGGAGAAAGAAGTCAGATATGCCAGTGGTTATGAGTATCTGCAGGTTCGATACCGATATGCAAGGTAAAAAATGCAGGCTCATATGAAAAATGAGAAGAAAAAGTTCTAGGGTTGTAAGATAAGAGATGGCCAGTGTTTGTTAAATAGAAGAATTCAATTCAATCATTTGATTTTATAGAAAAGAAAAAAATGCAGTAGTCTTTCCCCCCACTCTCTCCTAAAAGTTTTATAACAAAGAAAGAAACAAAAAGGAAACTTTTGAGTCATCATTAACAGAGAGACAAAGGATTTTAGTCAGAGGATTGAATGAATTATGTTTCCAGAAACATTTTAAACAGATATTCCATTTTTACCTATACAAATATCTGTCCTCTTGGATCTGGTAGTTAAGAGTATGGAAAATGGAAGCAGACAGGCTCCATCCCTTAGGGCGGGTTTCTGATCTCTAAGCCTCAATGACCTTGTTGGAAAGATAGGAATAATAATGGTACCTCCTCTATAAGGTTGACATGAAGATTATTAAATGAGGTAGAGGGTCGAATTAATAGCATAGATTTATAGGAAGCTCTTGATAAATGTTATCTATTCTCTTGAGCCTTTTTGAGATTTTTTGACTTACATAAACAGAAGTTTCATATGATTTAACATAAATATTATCATCATATTTTTCAGTACAGTGGTGCATCATTATTCTTGGGCTAAGTTTTAAAGATCCTCAATGGATACCTGAAACTTTGCATAGTATTGAACTCTGTACATACGGTGTTTTTCCCTATATATACATTCCCATGGTGAAGTTTAATATATAAATTAGATAAAAGATTAACAATCAATTATAGCAATATATCAGCATCACTACTCTTGTGCTTTGAAGCCATTCTTTAGTAAAATAAGAGTTACCTGAGCATGCTATCATGATAATTGAGCCTTGAACCAAGACAGCTACTGAGTAACTAATAGGTACACAGTGAATATTGTGTGAATCCTCTGGACAAAGGAAGGTTTCCAGTGCACAATTTAAAATTGATGAATTATTTATCTGTAATTTTCTATTTAATATTTTTGGACTGTCAGTAACTATGTAAAGCCATGGCAAGCAAAACTATGGACAAAGGGAACTGTAACTACTGTAATTGGTAGTTTATATCTTCACAGGATAAACTTGCAAGCTTTTATATGTCAAAAGGTACGTATTTATCATTTAAAAATTTTCTAAAGGTAATTGTTATGGAAAGTGTTCTGAAAATTTCAGTGGCTCTTTATTTTTATCCACTATTATAGAATTAATTACTATTAATTACTCTTATTACTACTAACAATAATTATTGGTGTATGTGGCTGGCGCCGTAACCACTGTGCTACAGGCACTGAACCTATATATATATTTTAAAGTAACATATATAGGTATGTATCTTTTAGAAGTAAATAATGTATACGTATATATTTTTAAAAATAAATTATACTTAGTGTATTTCTACTTAAAGTTTAAAATTGTTGAAGGAATGCTATCTAGTGAGCAGTAAAAATTTTGTAGTTCCATTTATTTAACATTATGGTATTTAACTATCAGAAAGGAAAACATGATGGTAAAAGTTTATTGAGAATTTCACATGCCGCACAATTGCATTTCTGCATCTTATGTATGAGAGAGACCTTAGTTTGGACCTCAGAAATATTAAAAATTGTAGTGAGCAAAACATTGCAAATTTGATAAATTTTAGTGAATATCAATGTCAGTCTTTACTATTTTAAAATCAGTATGTTATCTTGATTAATATTTTTCCAAGCCAGCACATTAAAAAAGAATCAGACACTTCATTGTGTGAAGTACTCTGGAATACAAGGTGGCAGGGTTGTATTTTTGTAGCTTATTTTTGCTTTGATGTACAGCAAACGTTTGTTATCTAAAATTTAAATTTTCCATGTGGTTAACTGTTAAGCATTTTATAAGACAGAACTTTTAAATTTTAACTTTCCTCATAGAAAACTTTCTAAACTTTGCTTTCCTGATTTTTTTTTTTAATTTCAGATTAATGTGAGGGTAAAAATAATTAGTTAACATTGTTTGCATTTTTTAGGTAAAATCCAAGGTGTAGCTGAGCCTGTTACCCAGGAGGTGTGCCATATACCTTCCATTGTGTCCATTAGGTGAGAGCTTACCATTCCCCCTCCCTCCTCACCTCTCCATCTTCCTTCCTCCCCCTCCTTCCCCAGTTGAGTTTTATTGTGTTTTTCTCTTGTGCGGGAGTGTAGTTCATCTGCTAGTTTCTTGTTAGTACATTGGATACTTGCTTTTCCATTCTTGTGCTACTTAGGAGAAATTCTTCAACTCCATCTAGGTAAATATAAAAAAGTCTCCATATTTTTTATAGTTGAATAGTATTCCATGATATACCTATATCACAATTTGTTAATCCATTCATAGGTTGATTGGCACTTGGGTAGGTTCTACATCTTGGCGGTTGTGAATTGAGCTGTCATAAACATTCTAGTGCAGATGTCCTTATGGTCAAATGATTTTTTAACTTTTGGGTAGATGCCTAGTAATAGAATTGTGAGATCAAATGGAAAGTCTTAGCATTTTGGGTTTTCCCTGTATTTCTTTCCACAGAAGCTGTATTAGTTTGAAATTCCACCAACAGTATAAAAGTGTTCCCTTTTCTTCACATTTACTCCAGCTTCTCCAGCTTTGAGTCTTTGTGATGTGGGTTATTCTCCCTGGTGTCAGGTGATACCTCAAGGTGGTTTTGATTTGCATTTCTCTGATGATTTGGGGCAATGAGCCTTTTTTACTGTATTTGTTGGCTATTCATCTGTCTTCTTTGGACAAAGTTCTGTTCATGTCTCTTACGCACTGATAAATGGCACTGTTTGCTCTAGCAACAATATCCATGGCTGGGAAATGTGTGGGAAAACTACTGCTCTTATATACCCCTCAAAGCCTGCTCCATTGGGAAACCTTGATTGGAGGCTTTGGGCACTCTGTGTCTATCACTGAATTCTCAACAGCCTGCAGCCAAGACATGGTTCTGAAGGATGAAGAGGAGCTGACCCTCAACATAGAAATATACAACTACTTTGTTCCTGTCTTCTGAGCTTCCATCAAGGTTCTCAAGCCTTTTTCAATTTTTAGCATTCTGTATCCAAAATGCTTTTCCCCAGAGCCCTCAGCCTCTGTTATATAACTAGACTGTCAGCATCCTGCCCCTTAATACCTATAAGACCATGCAAGTGAGCCAAGGGCATAAAGAGAACCACCTTTGTGGTATTTCATCATGGACACTAGAGTCCAAAGGGTCATACAGGAAGTGTTTTTACTAATACTATTTAACTGTTTCAGTTAATAGAGAATCATTTCCAAGTAGGAAAATGAGGCTTAGGGATCCTTTGTTCTCCCCCCTTCTCTTGTGAAGTGTAATTTGTGCTTGTGCAGTACCTGGAGCCCCAGGGCTCTCTCTGCATTGTGGCTTTTCTCTTCTCAGACTGCAAAAGACACTAGTCCTGCAACCTTGTCTTTAATTGCCCTGTCGGTCAGTGGTGATTGGTGGCCTCTTCTGTGCTTACTATGCCTTTAAGGAGCAGCTGTGGAAATCTCTTCCCTGGATCACTAGGTAGATGAGGTTTTAGTTCAGGTAGTTGGGTTACCAGCTGGGTGGAGGCAGTGGGGTGGTGGCTGGAGGAGAAACTCCAGGCCCACCTCTCAGCTGGCTTGGACTCCTTGTACTCATCCTCTCTCTTCCTCACAGGACCTAGGGACAAACTGTTTTCCTTTCTAAAAGATCTCATCATCTACTCTATGCCTTCAAATTTGTTTCCCCTCAAATTTGGCTAGAAAATGGGATCCTATTCCTCTTTTGCTTTATTACTTTAATGAAGTAGGGACAGTAATTGCCAACACAGGGAGATTACTTTGTTCTGTGCATTAGGATTTCTGTATATGGTTCCTGGTTAAGGTTTGAGATGACAATTATACCATCCTGTTCAATTTTACTCAAATTATTTCTGAGTTTAAAACTCTGGTAATCTCTCCATATTCTTGACATGCTCCTTGCTTTCTTGGGGACAAGTAATTCCCATGTCTCTATTGGGCCAGTAGCCTCTCTGAGGCTCCCTGTCCAGTTGGCAGTCACCCCAGAAGTGATGCGTCTCAGAACCATCCCTTCAATAAGGTAATCATCATTGGTTATAGAGAAAGCCAGGTCTTCAGTGGAATACAGTTGAAGCCCTGAATTTATAATAAATCTGAGGTAATACATATTGTTAGTGATATAAAAAAGTCTCATTAAGAGAAATGCAATCCAAAGTCCTAAATGCTTTTGTCCCACATCTTGATTTACAGATCAAATATATTAAGCAGTTTTATTCATATCATCAAAAGATTTTTCAGTGGCACTCACTGCTGGATTTTTTAAAGTCAGGTTCTATTGCTTAAAAAACCAGGTACAAATTAAATTTGGGAAAATTAATCCTAGTCTTTATTTGATTTGTTTTTTTCAGAAGCAATTTATGTATATACACATTATTTTTATATTAGATAAGTTGTGATTCTGAAATCTACTTATTAGCTTTTCCCTCTTACAAGGAATATTTTATACACAAAAGCTCCATGCCTGAGTACAGTCCTTTCTCTAAATAACTGGTCTCATTATAACTACCTGTTATTTTGTTGTGACATCCATATAAGATCAAACATAAGAATGCACAATTCAATTATTTATTCTTACTTTATCTGTTGTTTATAATAAAACATACCTGTAATTTAAAAATCCCCACAATGCCAGCCTCTGCTGCCCATCTTATTTTATTTACTATAGTAACAAGGTTAGCTGGCATTTTAAATCATGTTTAGTATTGCACCAGACTAGCCAAGTCCCTGGGCACAGGAACTGAATGCTAATGAGTTCCCCCCTCCACCACACCTACCCACCCAATAGGATAAAAGGCAAGGTGCTAGGCCTGGTGTCTGTCTTGTTTTGTTCTTCTCAGATCTCTGTGCAGAAGGGCAGTGTGGCCCCTGCCATCTTGTTCTCATAATGCTCATCAAATTTCTCATTCATAGCCACAGTAAAATGGTTCTTCCAGTCTCCAGGCATCCCTGTAGGAGAGCAAAGAAGTTCACGGATGGTGCCTCAGCCTCACTCCACCTGATCTTCCCACTACAAAGCCCACAGCATGTCCATCCTCCTTCTTCAAATTCCACAGTTACCCCACCTGGGCTGGAGCATTCTGCTTCCTAGCACAATTGGGAAGAAGACTTCCTAACCTGAAGTTTGCAACTAGGTACCACTTCCTTGAGGAATTCATACACTGCCCCTCAGGGACAGTGAAAGATCTTACAATGATCTCACTAATGAAGGTGTTACTTGTCAGGTGAAATTAAAGACACTCTTATCATCACAACTGGCATTTGGATAACAGTGATCAACTGCCAACTGGTGCACCCTGGCAGACCAAGGCAGACCTAGGGGAATGTTTACCTCACTTCTCCTAGGGCTTTATTCCTACTGGGTTTCTATCCCTTGGCAAGAAGATTATTCTGAAGAATATTGAACACTGATATCAAATTCTAGATTTTAACTTGCAACCAATGAAATAGAATATTCAGAACAGGGGAATGGTTTCTTAAGGTGATTTTGTTCCATTCAGGTGAGCTGTTATTTGGGGCTCCCTAGGATGTCCCACTTTCCTTTCTTATCATTAATTGTTGTATCTATTGCTCTTTTTTCCCCTGGAATGTTAATCTCTTGGATGCAGAATAAAGACTGTTTCATTCATTCATGTACTCGCTTGCTCACTCATTAGACAGATATTCATTGAGTTCCTATGAAGTGGAAAGTCCTATACTAGGTACCAGTTGAATAAAACTAAACACCACATTCTCCTCTGGACACTCTGTAGTCTTACTGCAAAGATAAATGTAAGAATAAATAGTTAAAAATCTAAGTACTAAGTGCTAATTTAGAGCTCTGAACAAAACCAGTGAAGAACCAAAGGAGAAAGTGTTCAATACTGCTCAGAGGATGCAAGAGCCTTCAGGGAGGAGGCTATGGTTGTCCTGGGTTTCATATTCACAAAGGGTGGTGGTCCTCATAGCAAAGAGCACCATCAGCATTGCCTGAGAATATGTGAGAAAGGTGAAGTCTCAGACCACTTCCCGACCTACTCAGTGAGACTCTCTGGGAGTGGGGACCAGCAGTCAGTGTGCTAGCAAGGCCTACAGGAGATTCTGATGTGACTCAAGTGTGAGAAGCCCCAGCATGTGTTTCTCCAAACAGGCAGGGTGAGGGGAGGAGAAACTCTCAATTTGACTGGATTATGTCACTTTTTCCAGAAAAATGAGTTTAAATTTATTTTGGCACACATGACACAATATTTTTGGAATTGAATTAAATTACAAAAATGTCACTAACCTTTCCTCAAGAATTTTGAGATGGTGTGATCATATAAGTAGGAAGGTGCAGCGGTTTGGCTAGCCATGGGATTTTTGCTCATTACTTCAAATGAGGTGTGGTGGATGATCTTATTTATAATGTCCTCTGACAACGTTTTCTCCAAGAAGTCTAACACCTTGTAGATCTCACATTTTGGATTCTGTCAATGGAGGAAAATGGCATTATGAAGAGGGTGAAGAAGGAAGAGCTTGGCCAACTCAAGAGACAGCCTGTTGTCTGCCTCCTGAGGAGGCAGAGTTAGGTCTCACCCACCTTAGTGCCACTTACCTTTTTTATGTCCTCATAGAAGAGATAGAGGATCTGGTGTTTGTCCTTTGCATCCCACCACCCCTTCACGTGGTCATACCAGGACCCATAAGCCACTGGAAGAGGTAGGAGCTCTGTTAGTTTTCAATACCAGGCCAAACCCAAGGCAATGAGATAATTTAATGTTTCTGGAAAATAACTACCCATAACTTGCATTCAGCTTACTTCTGAATGTGCAAAGTGGGCATAAAGATTTGTTTGAAGGATGATACAAATCTTGTCCACAGAGGAAGTGTCCAC